TTTTTAATTAAAATAAATTTCACCAGTAATCTTTTTAAATCTCTTTTTTTTTTTTAAAATCACTGACATGATATATTTTAATTTTAATTAAAATAAATTTTATCGATTTTTTTTTAAATGTAATTATTTTTTTTTGTAAATGTAAGTAGTTTTTTGTTATATTTGTTTAATTTTATAGATCTAAATACTTTTTGGTTCAAAAAATATTTAGGAACTTAATCGTTCAAAATATGAATGTTTATTGAGGGTTTTTCTCGAACTTTTGTCAGTATTTTACTACTTTAACAAGTTGTACAGGTCATAAGAATGAATCTACCAGGTTTTAGAAAAGTCCAAAGAGTTATTTAACATGTTTTGAATTATCCAAAGATTTATTTGTTTCAAAAATTGTCAATGAGTTATTTAACATGTTTTAAATTGTCCAAGGATTTATTTGTTCTAAAAAATTGTCCAAGAAGTTATTTAACATGTTTTAAAATGTCTAATGCCTTATTTGTTCCAAGAAATTATATAAAGACTTAATCATTCCAAACATTAAATTCTATTGAATTTTTTTAAAATTTTTCTTTTAAGAAAAACATAAATTATTTCAATCAATCAATCTGTAGTTATAAAAGGAAACTTCATAATGTTTTTTAAGATGCCGTATAATACAAAATTATAGTTTGATTGGTGGAGGATTTTTGATAGAATCATTGGAGGATATATCGTCATCAACTCTTGTGGAAACAACCCTAGGAACGTTTTCCACGTATTCATTATTGCCTTCACTGGCCTTCTTCCTTCCTTCAGCACTTCATCTTCATCTTCATCTTCATCTTCATCTTCCCCCATCGATCCACCTGCAAAATGATGGAACTCCCACAATCCCCCATACCTCTAGCTCCATTACTTCTTCGTAACATTCTGTTACCCTTATTCATCTACACCGATAAATCTCTGTTGAATTTGACCCATAAATTCAAACTCTTCGAGATCCTTCGTTATACCCTCGTCACCGCCTTCGTTTTCTTCCTCAAAATCGTTCCTACCTTCATCCCTTCTTCTCTTAATCCCAATCATACTTCCGATTTCTCAGATATCGATTCTGATTCCAGTGGTATTTGGGTACCCTTTTTGAAAGGGGCCGGAAAGTGTAATGAAACCGCCGATAGTAGTTTGGCCGGTGATACGTGCATCGCGCGTGCGCTTTCTCAGTTACTGGCTATTGTTAATGAGATACCCGTGAGTTCGAGAAAGTATGATATCGTCAGGTCGTACGCCGAGAAATTGATGGATGAAAATCTCGAGGAAGGGTACGAGTCGTTACGGAAGGTGAACGCCACGGTTCTCTCCGGCGGGTTTTCACGGGCCCTTGGACAGCTGGAATCGTTGGCGGTGGCGGAAAGGGTGACGGCGAGGGAGGTGGTGGATGAAGCGAGTGGCGGCGATGGTGGAGAAGTGGTGAAAAAGAGCGGTCGTGGTGGTTATTTTGGGTTGAACCGGGCTTTTAAGACGGTTGGGCATTACGGTGATGCTGCTTGGACCCGGTTCATGAAACGGAAACCCCGAGTGGGCGGTTCGGCTGAGAAGTTGTCTGCTGAGTTGCTTTGGCTGGCGCAGAAACTAGCGGCTTGTGGGAGCGCTGATGAAGCTGTTCGTCAATGGGCTTCGGCTACTAAGTTGGCCTCGTTTGCTCTTTCGGCTCAGCTGCGGCTACAAGGATCTTTAGTCAAACTTTCTGGTATGACTTCGGCCCCGTTTACTTTTTACCGTTTTTAATGTTTTTAGTTACATCGTAGCAAATATAAATGTTAAAGTGACAAGGACAAGTAGTTAGAAGACTAATAAGGAAATGTCTAAAATGCCCTTCCACATATGGTGTACTATTAATATCCTGTAACGATTATAAGTGGCGAATATGTCATTATTAGTGGATGTTTGCGATTGCTTATTTGAAACAATTTATGCTTTTCTACAAAAGCACTTATCAACTTATTATAAGTAAGAAGAGTTTAACTTTTTCAAAAATTCCTTATTACCAGTTTGTAACCACTATAAGTTGTTTATTCAAAAACTCAAAAGTACTTATTATCGGTACTACATCGGAATAACTCAATAAGTTGTTTTTATAAGCAATCCCAAACACCCCCTTAATAAACATAAAGTTAAGTTCACGTAACAACGAATCATTTTGTCCAATCATATCCCGTTTTTATTGCGTATTATGAGGGTACATGCGATATCAGTATTTCCGATCACATGTAGCGTTATTGTTCAAGCAAGCAACGTGTATGGGTAGTGAAGACGATGATGAGGGCCACATGGAGGAATTAAGGAAGATCAAAATGAAGTTGTTGATGTCATGGATACCGTTCATGTGTCGAGCGAGTAATGGCACGGACACACCCGTACTGAGTTTTCACGAGAAACTCGAGCTTGAAAGCGTGTTAGGAGAACTGATAGGGTCGTTAAAACACGAAGAAGAGCAAGAAAAGGTGTTGGCCTTATGGCTTCACCATTTCACACATTGCCAGTCCACCGATTGGCCCAACCTCTACCTCTACTACACCCGTTGGTGCGCCACTTCCCGCAAGCTCTTGATCCTCGAGGGAAGATAAGTGCACACAGGGAAATGAGAACAACCGTTCAACGTTTAGCATCGAAACCGGTGGGTTCTGTTAAAAATTCTTCAAAAATTTAAAGGAAGATGTAGAATAAGGGTGTGTTTGGTACGCGGAACAGGATGGGACAGGACCGAAGATATATTATATGGTTTAATTTATTTGCATTTAATGTGAATTTGTTATATAATAAGGTATGGCCTACATTTTATGTTTGTGGGATTATGTATAAAGAAAAATGTGGCATGGTGCAATTCATGTTAAACACATGTTTCTTTCTTTTCTTGTTTATAGTTTACTGGTTGAATCTAGACATTTTTATGCATGGATCAATCAAGGATAGATGTCAATTTCTTTCTTATCGAAGAGTAAGGGGCCGTTTACAAAATGTTTACTCAGGTAAGCGTTTACCAAGTTATATTATCTTATCAGATGAATATGACAAAGAACAAGAATCTTCCCCAGTAAGAGCGAGACAAAGAACAAGAGTCTTACCCGGTAAGTGAAGGCGACGACTCTTACCACGATAAGAGCTTATCGGGTAAATTTATTGAATACGATGCCACTTTGGTGGACTAAAATCTTATCCGACAAGTAAGTAATAATGTTGAATTTTACTGATAAACACTTGTCAGGTAAGTTTTTGGTAAACGACCCCTAAATTTACCAAAGGGCCTTTCGCCTAGCGGTATGTAAGTCATTGGCCTCCTAAGAGGTCAAGGGTTCAAACCTTACTATAGGTAAGGTGTGTGTGTGTGAGTTTATTTATTCTATTTGTCGTATATAAATATTATATATTTCAAAAAAGAGAGTAAATTCTTGTGTTAGCTTTATAATGTTTGATTATGGGATGTATAAACAAATTAAATGACGAGAGAATAGTATCAGTGGGTCCAGTCTGATTTATCGTCAAGCTATGCGTTTGAAACACGCAATGTTATCCACCCGTCATGACATAGTCCGTCTCATCAGGAGTGTCTGATTTTACACGTTACATGATATCAAATCGAAATAATTAGGCACCTTCTTATCCCAAAAACAAGAAGTAAAACAACTTATTGGAAAAGCTCACATGTTTTAGCTCTATTGCTTCAATTTGAAAGCAGTTATAATCTAAACTTATCCGATGAAAACCAATAATCATATTATCAGATAATATATATGGAAATTACAGTGTTATTTTATAGTGTGATTATTTTTAATGTGTACTTGTTATTTCATATTGTGAAATATCACTGTAGTTTTATATGTATTGTTTCACAATATAAAACAACACATAATTAACCGTTCTCGACTTTTTTTTGGTTCTCATTTGATTTTCCCATGTTTTCATGATGGTAAAACTACATAATTTTTTTTAATCCAATTTTAAATATATATTTTTAATCCATTTTATATCTAAAAGGAAAACCTACAAAGAATGACGTGACACATTATTATAGTACAAATTCTTCATAGGAATTTTCTTATTTATTAGAATTTTTAAATTATTAAATAAGTTAAAGACTTTGTTACCCCTATATGAAAATTATGTATTTCATAATAAGTAGGCTTTTTTGGTCATTTTACTTCCAATTTAATTATTTAACTATAATCCCCGAACTATTTAGCCTCCTTGAATTCCTTTTAATTTCTCCATTCAATCCACGTTAAAGAAGCATCCTTGGTTCTCCGAGTCAGTTAAGAAGTGGTCAGATCCACTCCAAGGGTAGTATAGGGTTCGATTCTCAGTTGAACCGTCACAACAGGTATGCCGAGGCCAGGGACTATCAGTTCTTGGCAAACAACTCATTTTCTCCTTATGGGAATTCCAACTTACGCATCAAATCACTAAGATTGTATGTATTTTTATTCATTCATTATCCTACTGCTTCCCTTGATAATTATATTTACTTGTGTTGTGATTCTAGAGTTTTTTTTACTGTACCCCCACCGACAAAGATTGATTTAGTATTTGCATATTGTGATTAAAGCGTTGTATATGCCGCTATCTGCGCATCGTATTTTTGATGATTGCTCCTGATACAACTTATTACAACTTGCAAAGTTACGCCTACACATGACATTTGAGAAATGACATGGATGATGATGCGACAGGACATGAGAAAATTACATTCTTCTAATGAGGCCAACATTTCATTTCCATAATTCAAATCATTGTTCAATGTTGTTGGCAATGGATTACGTTAGGGGTGCTCATGGGTTGGCTTCATCAGGTTGAAGACATTTGAATAACCCAACCTAATGCTTGCGGTTTGAAAAATCTTAAGCCAAACCGTATTGGTTGGTGGCGTTGGTTGGGTTGATACTTTCGTACATTAAAATATTCTTCTGACCTTGAATATGTTATTTCTCTACACATAATTTCTTTTCCATTATCAAACATTTGATACAATTTATCCATACTTCTAATGTATATCATATTCAATTAATTTTCTCAATTTTACATATATATGTTCATAGTTACAGAACATATATACAAATGAGTTATATAGAGATGTGAATAGATTGGAAATATGTGTATATGAATAGCGTACTTGATAGTGTAATTGTCTAATGTATATATTAATAGAAATTCAACAATCATATTAAATCCAAGAAATAAAAAAATATCGGGTTGGTTAGGTTCAAATAATAGTAACCCAATACATGCAGTTTGAAAATTTTACTACTCTTTTAGACATCGGATTGCTTCGGGTTGAATTATTTCACGTGGGGTTGGATTGGGTTTTTGAGCACCCCTAAATTACGTGGTTCTCCATGATCAAGTTAGCTTTTGGGTTATGGAATCTACATTATTCCATGAATTGTTAATATATCTATTTCGGTCTTTACAAAAATTTTATCACTGTAGTTGTTGCAGTTTCTTTTTAACAATTATTTGGTCTTGAGGTGTTCATCCCATGTGCACTTGATAAGATGTTCCAATTACACTCATTACACTGGACCTCACCGTCTTTCTTTAGCTCTTTGTATGTTTAGATAATCTTTATCTTAGTACATTGTCATCTGAGAATATTTATGATAGAATACAGTTAAAAAGGCAGGTACAAGCTTGGGTTTTGTCTGAATTGACATGATTGTCAGTATAGACTAACAAAACTATATCAGCCTAGCATTGAATAGACTGCGTATTCACCTTATCAATATATCAAATCAATGATGGGGTCTGAAGACTTCCTCCTCGACTTGAAGTACTCCAAAAGATTGAGCAATTACCTTCCTACAACTATGTAAACTAGTATGGGAACCGCGCGTTGCGCGGTAGTATGAGTGCTTTGATTAATGATCTGATGATTGTCTATATAAATATATATTAATTGTTAATAGAATCATCAACAAATCATATTCAAATAATTCGAAAAAGTTAAATAAAATATAGTTAGTGAAATTTTAATATATATATATATATATATATTGAGAGAGAGATTTGTTTAGTAATAAAATTGTAAAACTAAATAAAATGAGTAATAATAACGACGGAAATATTAAGGAATCTGACACAAATTTAAGAATAAAAAATACTCCACATAAAGATATGTCTCCTTCAAATGATGATGTACATGTACTAATTTTCATCTTCAACACATACCTTGACTTTAAAAACATAATAGTGAATGGACCGGACCAACCATACGATATGTAAAAAATCACATACCAAACTTAAAGACTTCAAATCTTTATAACYCAATAGATAAAATTATAATGCAATCAAAATCATAACATGAACATACATAAAATTATAATACGACTAAAAAAATATAATCCAATCAAAATCATGATACAAACATACATAACATTCTAATACACTTTAAATTACAAAACAAACTTGCATAAAATTCTTGCCTTTAGATCATAATCAAAAATTCCCACAACCCAAACTTGAAAAGTTCAAATTTTCATGACTTGATATATAAACGTTAAAGAACTCGAAAACCTGCAAACAAAAAAACGTTCAACATGCATAAGTAAAAATTATATGGTGAACTTGAATATTTTAAATCTTTACCTAATACATAAGAGTTATAATGCAAACAAAAATCAYRATACAAACATAAATAAAATTATAATGCAATCAAAATAATGAAACAAATCAGTATAAATATTTTACCTTATATTGCAACCAAAAAATCAAATATTGAACTTGAAGACTTCTTTTCAAATCTTCATGACGTAATGCATAAAAACTATAATGCAACCTGAATAACATAACGATACAAACATACATAAACTTATGGGAGAAGTGGAAAAAAAAAACTATGAAGATTATCAATAGTAAAATAGAAGAAAAACCAAAGAGAAAGAAAATAAATTTAGAGATGTATAAGATAGAGATAAAATTTGAGAGGGTGTGAGAGATGATGAATAAATAGTTGTTGTTTATATGTATATAAATAAATGATTGATGGAAAAAGATGAAGGGTTTGGAGTTATGTCATTTGAATTAATATAGAAGGAGATGAATGGTTTGGAGTTGAATGCAAACATTTAAAAAAACATAAATAGACAAAATATATATATATATATATATATATATATATATAGTAGTGGATATTGAGAAATGAAGGAGAAAAAAGAAAAATGAGGTTATAAGCTTTAGGAGAGGCCACTTCAAACACTCATGGTTTATTCTTTAATATATATATATATATATAATAATAATACATAAGAGTTATAATGCAAACAAAAATCATGATACAAACATAAATAAAATTATAATGCAACCAAAATCATGAAACAAGTCAATATAAAATTATTACATTTGCAACCAAAAAATCAAATATTGAACTTGAATACTTCTTCAAATCTTCRTGACATAATGCATAAAAACTATAATGCAATCTAAATAACAAAACAAACATACATAAAATTGTGGGAAAAGTGAAAAAACAAAAAAAAAAAACTATGAAGATTATCAATAGTGAAATAGAAGAAAAACCAAAGAACTTGAAACTTCTTCAAATCTTCATGACATATAATGCAATTTAAATAACGATACAAACATACATAAAATTATGGGAGAAGTGAAAAAAAAACTATGAAGATTATCAATAGTAAAATAGAAGAAAAACCAAAGAGAAAGAAAATAAATTTAGAGATGTATAAGATAGAGATARAATTTGAGAGGGTGTGAGAGATGAAGATGAATAAATAGTTGTTGTTAATGAAGCTTAAATTCGAAAAAAGTTTATCATATCCTGTGATTATAAAATATCAAAATTTTATTTGAATTTATATGATCAAATCGTAAACACAATTTATATAATCCAATCGTAAACACAATCATATCCTATGATAACAACACATCCAACAATATTGAAAAA